TGATAATTTTTTATCTTTCTTTTCGGCAAAAACCAAAGGACAATATTAATATAATATTCTCTCTATTACGATTTTTGTTTTCATACTTTTATTTTAAGAACGACATTTAAATTTAAATGCCCCCAAAGTGAATTGTTTTAAATATTTTCTCTATGAGAAATCAAATCGTAATCTGTTTTGCGAGTTAACTGCTGATAACTGCTATGTTATCATGAGCAGTTGAAATAAGGCTTGTTACTGTCAGTGAATATATTCAATAATATCCTCTCATTTTCCGAACACCACATATTCTCATTGACGTCATAAGCCTGTTAACGCTAAACGCATTATTCGCTCAGAAGAATTCCAAGTTTGTTCCCCCTCCACATCAATTTCTTCAACTACTCTAACTTTACATTCATAAATCCTTCTTTGCAGAGTATTTACTCATCGATTTTAGTTCCCAAACAATAGGGTTCGAACAGATCAGTTACTGATCCTACGAGACTGAAATTTCACGACTGATTCGCTCAAACATATGTAGGTGAACGTGTATCTCTCAATTATCAGACCAGATAGAGAAAGCACGAATGTAAGAACGAACTGATAGGTTAATGTGAGTGGACGTTACACGGTGGGCAAGGTATTTCTATTGGTTTGCTGAGCAAAATTTTAATAGATTATTCTAATCTTTTATTATTTAAAAAATATGCATGCACTAGAAAATTCTGTATACCAAATGATACAGGTTCGTTGAACCACAAGTCAAACTGATTTAACGAACCACAAATCAGAATGGTTTAATAAACCACAAATCAGACAGATTCATGAACCACATTATCCGACTGGTTTAAAGAAGCACAAATCAGACTTATTTAATAAACTGTAAGTCAGGCAGATTCTTGACCCACATTATCAAACAAAGTAACAACGTTAATAACTAAGAATTCACAAGTAAAAACAAGAATCTGTAGGATATGTGACATTTAATGAACAAATATAAACTTAAACTTAGTTCTAAAGCCATCAATTCACAAGATCCATTTCATTATAACGAAAAGGTTGGATTACAGTAAAGACTACCAAGTGATTCTTTATATCAAAGAAGTGTAAAAAAAATTGTAAAGAAAACAAAATTAGAATGTTGGAATGGAGCACCACAAAGTAAGGAAACAAGGTACGAATGGACGGGATAACATTACCTCACTTAGTGGTTTTTAACACAGTGCAACCTCAGAGTGGGTGTGGCTATATACACCTTTCATTTAGTTTGAAGAATTACCAATTTACAAAAACCACATAAAGTAGGAATGGGTAGAACGATGGACACATCCACTTTGAGGTTGCATGGTGTTAGAAACCACCATTTGTTGTAATGTTTACCCACCTATTACTATCTTGTTTCCTTACTTTTTGGTGCTCCCCTTCCTACTTCCTAATTTATTTATTTAAAAATTGTTTACGCTTGTCTCATAGCTTTTTTGATACTAAGTCTCGAGAATGACTGGGATCTAGATCTAGGTCTATCGTTTTTGTAGCTTTTCTTACAGTTATCTCTCATCATTTCCTGTTTTTTGCTGATATCTTTGCTATAATGTTTCCATCTTGCCATGATGGCAGCCTTTTCTTTGGCTGGATTAATGGCTAAGACTTGTTTCACATATTTAACATCACTGTTTCTAACTTTATCTCCATTCTTCCAGTAATGCTCTTTGCTGGGTCAAAGACTTTTCAAGGTTATCAACATAATATTTGCTCATTTTCCCTCGTTTTGTTTCATTGAAAGGGATATTTTAAATATCGCACTGTTTTAAGTGCAACGTTAGATGTCAATAGGTTACAACTAGTTTGAAAACAATATAGAAGTAAATTATGCAACTAATCATTACTGTTTTCTGTCCAGAGCACTTTAGCAAAGCCGTATCAGACTTTGGTAATGGTATCATTCCTCCTCATATATGAGACACTCTGACTGCAATGATAGAATTGCTTTCTCCAACACGGAACCCTCGAGTCAGATGTATAGAACTGAAAAGTTCACTTTCAAAGGCTAGAACGTAGTTAGAACTTAGATCTAGATAATCTATATGGTCCACTTTTTTATATAGCTGATACAGCTGAAGGTTGATCACGTAGCGCGTGCGCATAAGCAAGCGTGCACATGCACGTGATATGAGGGCGGGTTGTTACTTGGAAACTCACAGAGCGTGCTCGTAATCATAGAATATGACTACCAGTGTATCGTTAGCTCGTTAGTAGTGTTGCAAAATGCTTATTTTATTACTTGTTATTACCAAGGTTATAAATAAAACTAAGAAAAACATTTTTAGCCAAGGTAGCGTAATTCAGTCATGTGTATTTAGATTTGCAAAATGTAAAGGCAAAAGAGAGCTATGCCTTTCCAACAACGTTAGTCAGTCAGATTGACAAATCTGTGATTTTGTGAAATTTTAGTTTTTACTCTGTCGACTTTCTCAAGTGCTTTGGTGGCTTGTTACTCTGCAGTTGGTTTGTTTACTATTCAACAGTGAGTGTAAAGTGCTTAGAAAGTTATGTTTATATCCTGCTTGCAGTGTGTTTGAGATTTTAATTTGTATTGCACGTATTGAACAACTGACCCATTCCTAGTATACGTACTACCTTACTTTTGATACCACTAAAACCGTGGACAAAGATCGGATTTTTGGATTTTGAGTGCAACAGTTATGGCTTTATTGAAACATGGAATCTGTTTTATAGATTGTAGCAAAATGTAGCGTCAATAATTCGAATTTTCCTCTCTTTTCATTGTATGATCATATTTCTTCTCAATGATTTATTCCTACAAAGACCGATTTTCAGTTTAAGCCTGTAGATTACTTCATGAATATCAATGTTGTTCGCTTAAAAAAAAAGGCTTAACGTTCCATTTTGTTACATTCAGTTTTCCTGAACTTTTCTTAATACTGTAAAACATGTTACGTATTTCCATATTCAGTTTGTAGCCTTATTCAACACGGTTCAGCGGTTACAAATAATCGCACGGGATGTATTATTTACTGATTTCTGATAGAATTACAAAAAAAAAGAAAACTTCTATGACAAATTTTATTTTAACTTTCACATCCCAAGTTCCTCCCATGATCTGGACGAGCGAAGAAGTGGTGGGGACGAGTGTAGGAGCAGCTGTTACACTGGAATGCCACCTTGAGTGCTATCCTCCTTCGGTTTCTTACTGGACGAAGAACAGAGATACGTTGGTGATTGCGGACTCCAAACGAGACGTGATGACGGTGGAAGTTGGACTCTATAAAGTTGAGATGAGGTTAAGGCTGCGTAACGTGAGCCATGACGATTTCGGTTCTTATATCTGTCATGCCAAGAGCTCCCTGGGAGAGGCGGAAGCCTCGATCAAACTTCATGGTGAGTTTCATTATAATTAAGTTAACCATAATTAGATCCATGACTGCTCTTCAGTCTGGTTCATATCACAACTGTTTTTGTGTTTTAATTTAACCCTGCTGTACGTTGTTAAGAACGATTAAACGATGCTCGTGGACTTTGTCTGATATCAATTCTGCAGAACTTTTTGATACTTTGTTTCTTGTTAAGCATCTCTACAAGATGATCGATATCATTGCTAGAACTTTCTAATCAGCTCTGAAATTACGCCAACAACTCCGTAATTGCAATAATCAAATGTAATGAGAAATAAACAGTAGCTCTATGGAAACAAGCCAGTATAGGAAATACTTGTAGGTAACATAGTGTCACCATGAATGTACTGCTCGTGACAAGGTGTCTGATGTCTGGTAGGAAGACATACAAACCCTTGTTAGTGACAAAGTGTCTGATGTCTGGTAGGAAGACATACAAACCCTTGTTAGTGACAAGGTGTTTGATGTGTGGTAGGAACACACACAAACCCTTGTTCGTAACAAGGTGTCTGATGTCTGGTAGTAACACACACAAACCCTTGTTCGTGACAAAGTGTCTGATGTCTGGTATGAACACACACAAACCCCCAAAGTTTTCCTATTGTTCGTGACAAAGTGTCTGATGTCTGGTAGGAACACACACAAATCCTTGTTCGTGACAAGGTGTTTGATATCTGGTAGGAACACACACAAATCCTTGTTCGTGACAAGGTGTCTGATATCTGGTAGGAACACGATGTTACTTAGAATTAAATAATGGAAACAGTCATTATTTTCATTTTGAGAACTTGAAATTCTGGAGGTTTCCTATAAATTTTGTAAATACAATATAAAACAGGTAAAAAGTGGATTTAAAATTAAGTATAGGAGGTGTTAGCGTTCCACCCAACTTAACCCTACGTCTTAACAATGCCAGGTTAACTCTTATCATACCGGGTTAACTCTAATGATACATAGTTAACACTGATGAAAATCCTAATGATTTGGGGTTAACTTAGGTGACAATTCTAATAAAGTAGGGTTAACTCTAGTGAACATTTTAACACCGTAGGATTAATTCAGGTGGACATTCTGATAATGTAGGGTTAACTCATATGAACATCCTAATGATGTAGGGTTAACTCTGGTGAACATTCTAAAGATGCAGGATTAACTCAGGTTAACATCTTATTGATGTAGGAGCACTCAGGTTACTTCTCCATAACGACATTAATCCAAAATAGTTTGGAGTCGGGTGGTATTTTTGGAAACCAAGAAATTTTACACCCAGGTGGCTGGGCCAGACGATAACAATATAGGACGAACGTGTTCAGCAACTGGGATTCGAACTCTCAACCCTAACCACCAGGCCATGCCAGGTCCGTAAATTACAATTTAATCGCTAAGAAGTAAAGACGTTGCGGTGTCTACTATTCGTAAATATTTTACCTGTTCTACACTTAAAACGAAACGTTTATCAGACTGAAATGTCATACCAAATTAATGGCTTAAAAATAAAAAAAACTCCCACGATTGGATTCACTTAGTTAAACTAAAGAATGAAACGGTGTGTGTAGCATAAAAACATGTACCTGTAAGAGAAACGTGGTTTGCTTCGGTAAATATATTTCAGTTGCTAGGTTACCACTGTATATATAATTATAGAAACTTTAATATCAATAACGAAAGTCACTACAGCGGTATGACGTTATCGCTGTAGCATAATGCTAGGGCTTTGGTGATACTTGTTTACAGGTATAAACACACCTGTTACACGTATGGAAAACACGCGAATTATTAAGAATTCGTTTGTATAAACTTCAGGTTAAGAAATGTATGAATACAGTAAGAGTCGTAGTGTATCGTTTCGCTTACTCGTACACATTGAAATACTAACTCTATATTCTGTCTGATATTTCATGAACATTTGTGATAAAATACCGTATAACGAATTACGTAGTGTTTTCAATCAAAGAGAAAAATGTTATGTTTTTAATATAATTCCCAGTATCACGAGCTTAGAACGACGAATTCCTCTCTCTCCTGTTTATTTGATAATGCTATGGATGTCTATCAGACAAATGCACATATCGTGTTCTATACGAAAAGTTGGTATAAAAATAAATATACATAAACAAATAATATGCTCTAATAAATGAATTTGTACAAAAGAAGTAGAGCCCATAAGACGACAAAAACGTTCTCGGTTTAGATCCATCTGTAAGTTTAGCAGAGAAACAGAAACTGAGATAATACAATAAACATCTGAATCGGTACATTGAAACGGTGTACCGTTTCAGTAGTTTCTAACTATTATTTTCTGGATGTAAACTAGTTACATTTTTAAAGATTTGGTTTTTAGGAATGAACATTCTTCGATCTGTGGGTAATTAGAAAGAAAGAACAAAAAAGCTACGAACAGGAGAAAGCGTGTGATCCATTACTTAAATCAATAGAGTATCTTATCTTCGAGATGCTGGAACTTGTTGAAGTCAAAGTTAACTAGTCCGTATGTGTTGTTGAAAATAAGGCTAGTTAGACTATTCTACTGTCACTTAATGTGGAATCAAGGCTAACTAGTGTATTTCAATGTCGTTTAATGTGAAGTCAAGGCTAACTGGACTATTGTACTGATATTAATATTGAGTTAAGGCTAATTAGACTATTGTACTGTCACTTAATATTGGGTTAAGGCTAATTAGACTATTGTACTGACACTTAATATTGAGTTAAGGCTAATTAGACTATTGTACTGACACTTAATATTGAGTTGAGGCTAATTAGACTATTGTACTGTCACTTAATATTGAGTTAAGGCTAATTAGACTATTGTACTGTCACTTAATATTGAGTTAAGGCTAATTAGACTATTGCACTGTCACTTAATATTGAGTTAAGGCTAATTAGATTATTGTACTGTCACTTAATATTGGGTTAAGGCTAATTAGACTATTGTACTGTCACTTAATATGGAGTTAAGGCTAATTAGACTATTGTACTGTCACTTAATATTGGGTTAAGGCTAATTAGACTATTGTACTGACACTTAATATTGAGTTAAGACTAATTAGACTATTGTACTGACACTTAATATTGAGTTAAGGCTAATGAGACTATTGTACTGACACTTAATATTGAGTTAAGGCTAATTAGACTATTGTACTGTCACTTAATATTGAGTTAAGGCTAATTAGACTATTGTACTGACACTTAATATTGGGTTAAGGCTAATTAGACTATAGTACTGACCCTTAATATTGAGTTAAGGCTAAGTAGACTATTGTACTCTCACTTAATATGGAATCAAGGCTAACTGGACTATTGTACTGATATTAATATTGAATTAAGGCTAATTAGACTATTGTACTCTCACTTAATATGGAATCAAGGCTAACTGGACTATTGTACTGATATTAATATTGAATTAAGGCTAATTAGACTATTGTACTCTCACTTAATATGGAATCAAGGCTAACTAGAATACTTTTGTTGTCAATTAACTTGAAAATGTCAAGGCTAACTAGGATACTTGTGTTGTCATTTAAACTTGAAAATGTCAAGGTTACCTAGGATACTTGTGTTGTCATTTAACTTGAAATGTCAAGGTTACCTAGGATACTTGTGTTGTCATTTAACTTGAAAATGTCAAGGTTACCTAGGATACTTGTGTTGTCATTTAACTTGAAAATGTCAAGGTTACCTAGGATACTTTTGTTGTCACTTAACTTGTTGTCATTTAACTTCATAATGTCAAGGTTACCTAGGATACTTGTGTT